ATATATTATTTTAGATTTAAATTTTTTTTTTGATATTATAGCTCAAAATTATTTTTAATTATTGGTAATTATTTTAAAATATTAAAATTTAATTTATAAATAAATATGATAAATAAAAAAATCAAATCAATTAAAAAAATTATAAGAATCTCTATTATACTAACCATCCGTTAAAGTAAGCTCGGTTATATTCTTGGCTAATCGAGTTAAATTTACCGACTCCAAATTTGGTTGATTATCTTTTGCAATAGACATTGACCAAATCAATAACATAAGCTCAGATATAGTGTTAATATACCTAGTTGAATATACTGGTATTCAACTTAGTCGATTATTTCATATCATAACTGCAACAATTGTGAAACTAAAGGAAATATATAAACAAGATTAAATTAAGGAAAAAGAGGTATGTATAAAATAGATGGACATAGACTAACTTGATCATCATAGTCCTTTTTACAGGTACCTTTTGCCCATTTTAGATGAGGTTGAAGACAATCTGATTCAATATTGGAAGGCAAGGAAATAAGAAGATCTTATAAGATTATTACTCTGTTTGAGTATATTATAGTAATAACATTTTGGCTCTTGAAGCAAATTTCCTTCAGTCACCTATGGTTTCAACCTAAAGCCATAGTGTTACATGAGTAATTGATCAAGGAACACCAACCACATGGAAGATAGTGTAGCCTTGTAGAGATTAATAGACCATATCAAAGCCATGCGACAACAAAATGTTGAAGTTTTGGAAATGATACGTTGCCAACATGAAGTTGATCTCCAAACGTTACATGCTAAAAATGAAAGCATCAAAACTCAATTGCGACAACAATAACCACAAAATGAATCCAGTCATGCCCATACCGAAGAAGAAGAACACCATTCTTCTCCTAATCATACTCACCAATTTGAATCTAAACTTGCAAACACTCATAGCCAATATCCCCATTTACAAGGCCATCACACCATCCAAATACACCCTTTTGTTGATGGAATAATGGAAATCCCCCTTCCTATAAGGTTGAAAATATTAAACATAGAATTGTTGTATCCTGCCATAAATGAATGTTTCAATAATGAAAAATCCTTAGTTCCATGTTTTTTTTTTATCATAAAAGAGTATTCATGAAGAGTATTGATAATTTTACTTAAGTGTTTTAGATTTAACTTGTTATATACTCAAAAGTATTATAAGTGTTTCAACTCAAAAGAACTCTCAAAAGCATAATCATGTTTTTGAGTTGATGGAAAATACCTTGATCATAGATAATTTATATGTGCACGAGTTTGATGTATCAAGAAAGTTCAAGTTGGACATCTTCTCTTAGGAAAGATGCCTTGAAGACATTGTGCATTAGTCTCTCTGGTAAAGCCTCTAAATAAGAAAACTTTAGTTTAAACTCAACTTCTCAAAAGACTGGTACTGAAGACCATATTCAAAAGATTACTCAGAAACACACTTAGAAGGAAGCTTCAGAAGCAAATTGCTTCTAAAGGATATGCTATCAACACTAGAATAAAAATACAAGATGATGTCAACACTGCTTAAAAGTTAAGCCAACTCCAACAAACCTATTCTGGGGTCTATAAAAGGAAGACCAGGAGAATTTGTTTGAAGTGAGCAAGATCAAAGAAAGTCATCCAAATACAAGTTTGCAAAGTTTTAGTTCTTGCTTCATTCTTTGT